CACATAAACAATGCCCGGGTTATTGCTAGGCAACTGCTCTCTAAATGGGTTCCCGCTGGAACGGAGTTGAATTCAACGGTCAATGTATTGTTGAACTATAATAATTTAAATAGTATTTTGTCTAACAGAAATTAGTACCTGGGATTAAATAAATAATTTTCCTGGGGAGTAAAGCGCGGCCTGCGCGTAAGACTGACAACCTTACCGCCATCTTTGAGCCGATTGTTTAGATAATGTGGGACCCGCAACGTCTCACAGCCCTATGGGCCTTCACAGCTTGGTACAGGGATAGCTTTACTTTTACTTTCTTACATGATTCGTGCCGAAATGTAATAAGCAGGGTCAGTCGAGTTTCGGGTTGAAAGTTGTCGGCAGTTCACTTGAGTAAAGTGACGTGAAGTATTCTTTTATTGCTAGTGGGGTGGGACTAAATCCCTTGTACTGCGCCCACTTCTGGCATAATGTACCAGCCGCAGATGATAGGTGAGGGTGATTGTGGAGCACTTGGTGGAATGAAGATTGGCAGGGGAAAGCGAAGTACTCGGAGAAAACCTGCCCCAGCGCCACTTTGTCCACCACAAATCCCACTTGACCAGACCCAGGATAGAACCCGGGCCGCCGCGGTGGGAAGCCAGCGACTAATCGCTTGAGCTATGGCGCTGCCCTAACGTCAAGTACCTGGTTCGTGAGTGACAGAGTTCAGTTGTCTGTTGAAATTCAGCCTGTGAAGAGGCTGATATGAAATGACCGCCAGCCTGGTACCTAGCGAGTCGAGTTGTCGGTTGAAAGTCAATTCTTCATGGGCGCGACAAGAGAACCTGAGTACGTGAAGATGAAGGATGTGCCTCAGCTGAAGCCGTTGCCAGAAAACGACTAGTGGAGACTGTAATAGACTGAAGACACTAGACTTTGTGTGTCAGTGGTCTGTAAAGTGTAGTAACGGGTTGTAAAGTTGGTCAATAAATGCACCACCCAAACCATACCCCGTCTGTAGTTACACACACCTTAAATCCGTGATTATATTATGCTGAAACATAATTGTTTCGTCAGGAAATGTGATGTAATTTATAGGCTTATGCAGTACAATTTATGCTTCACATCTTAAAATTCTAAGTTCCATTACACTTATCCTGAAGTTTTATAATTTTTTAATTCATCTGATTTCTACAGCTGTATTTTAATAAATACACATTTCATACCCAGAGTTTTTACTCATGTTGAAACTTCCGAGTTTGATTTGTACTGAAAGTTGAAAGGCTAATAGAATGACCAGGAGAATATTGCCTCTTAATTAGCGACAAGCTATTGAAACATTTCATAAAGCGATTTCTTAATAACGTATTGAGAAGCAGGCTACTGGAAACGAGAGATAAACTTCTTTCAAAGAACTTGTGACGTAAATCTTCTTTTGAATATACGAAGGAGAGTTATTAAATAGGTCACAAATTGATATAAAACGTAAAACATGTGATATTCGAACCTGGAATAAACATTTATAAACATTTTATTTCTCGACATATCCTCCACCAACATTGATACACTTGTCCCACCGCTTTACCACATCATAGAAGTCTTTTGACTGTTGTCTCAGCCACTTCCGCACCTCCGTTTTAACCTCTTCGTTCTTGAGAGACTTTCTCGACGAAATTATGGACCGCTTTATGCGACAAACATTTCCCACCGTAAACAGGACACATTTCTTTATGAATATCCTTTTCCATGAGTCATTTTTTTTCCACAAAAGCGCACAACAGACCGCTGTTCTTCGGTAGTACACTTTTCAAGAACGGTCGCCATTTCGGCCACGGAAACCAGACTCTGAACATGCGCATGCGCGTCTCCTACCTAAAAATGCCATGAAGCTGGACTGTGCTGCTACCTAGTGGTACACATAGGGAACCTATTACGTTTATTGCAACTGTTTTACTCCAATTTTTGACCTATTTAATGACTCTCCCACGTGTTTTAATATATGGACAGCGGCGTAAAATACTAATAGATATTTAATATAATTTCGAATTGGCCTAAAACCACTTCATTAAAGCCCCTTTAGCGAACTGGAAGGCTTTTTCCGGCCTTCTGTTCTTAAAAATGAATGTCAATATTGCAAACACTAGATACCCAATTTTGCTGAACTCTATACGAGTAACAGATATCTGGGTATCTTCTCATCTTGCTATTGTATTTTTGTAATTGGCATTATGAAACCCACCGCGGTGGCCACGGTTCGATCCCAGGTAAGAACACGTGGGGTTTGTAATGGACAAAATGACAACTGGAGCGCGTTTCCTCCAAATAATTGAATGTAAAGTTTACCAGACCACACGGCACAACATTCCAGAAGTTATTAATCTTTGTAGTCGCAGCCCTGATACCTCATGCCTCACTTATACTGCTTATACATAGTATTACTGTATTTAAGGAACCTGTTACATAATGTATCATTTATTTCATACGATATATTTTCCGTCTGCAAGGCAACTCATTACTGTCCCATTTCCTTCCTGAACGCGTTTCTGCCGTACATGGCGATCGTCAGTTGTCTGTAATTCGCTAAGTTGTTGCACTGTATGGTATATCCAACTTCTCATATCATATGTGAATGCGATATCTTTTAACTTAAATTAAATGGGCCTTATTAAAATCAATAAAACTAGATAAGATTTCATTATCTTGCCTGGGGGCGTCTTCCCTGCATCCAAACGGTATGGTCTGAGATCTACCTTGTTTGGATGTATTTGTGCAGAGGCATGGGTGTATGTGTGTTAAGGTGCCCATACACGTACGAGTCCGGCTCGGCGAGCCTGGATCGGGTGCCGGGCTCAGATTAATTTCATCACAGACGCATGAGCTGACTCCCAAATTTGCGACCCACACACGGACGACTTTGGTTTATTGGAACCCCAGCCGAGTCGGACTCACGAGCCAGACTCGTACGTGTATGGGCTGCTTTATTGTCTAGTTACTAAGTATGTTGGTGTAGTTACCATGTATGCCCCTTTGCCTGTAGGTTCTTCACCCTGCCTGTGTCGTGGTGTCAACGTCAGATATTTCCTCATTTCGGTGGGGAGGGCATGTAGCACGAACGGTGGAAAGAGGAATGCATAGAGGATATTGATGGGAAAGCCAAAAGGAAAGAGATCACAGGGAAGACCAAGGCGTTGGTGGGTGAACAATATTAAGATGGACGTTAGAGAGATAGGATGGGATGGTATGGATTGGATTGATCTGGCTTAGAATAGGAACTAGTGGAGGGCTCTTGTGAACACGGTGATGAACCTTCGGGTTCCATAAAATTCTGGGAAATTCTTGAGTAGCTGTAGAATTGGCGGCTTCTCCAGAAGGGCTCAGCTCAATGAGTAAGTAAGTAAGTAAGTAAGTATTTCCTAATAGCCTGTGAGTTCAGTTAGTGTTGGTGTGAAACCTCTGGCCCATGTTTCTGTTGCTGGTTTACTTTTGGCGAGAATGGTGATAAATACAAGAACTGAAGGCAATCGCCGCTGTTTTCCATCCTCTGAAGTAATTTCCACATCCCCTACTTCTGATAACTGAATGGCCACTTCAGTTCCAAATTTCTTCTTATTAACGATTTTTGGGCTAGTTTCCAATTCTGTTAGCTACCAATGAGCAAACTGTTTAGAAAAGTTGGTACTTCTCACTAGAATTCTCCCTACTGTGAACACTTAGGAATACTGCCAAAATATGCCAAGAATATGAATAAGGTGAGTCTGTGTGCTCCACAGAAGTCAGACTGTTATGATGGAGACTTAAACGGAATACTATACAGGATAATGAACTCCGCATTTTAAAACTGAACTTGCATTTAGTAACTAGAACTCTATTTATTATGAAGGAATAACTTTATTACTATTATAATAATTGCATTTTATTTAATGAAAATTAATTGAAATAATTAAAATATTTTGCATACATTTAATTAATTTTTAAATTATTTTTTTAGAAAACTACGTTCTCTCTGGCGTTATTTACGTTTTCATAATTCGAAACGTTGTCTTCTTCAAATCCGAAAATTTATCTCAAATATATCTCGGTTCTAAGAGATTTTTAAGAAACTTGCGGTTTATTATCTAGCTCTTATTAGTTTAATTCCATAGTTCGAAAAGTTGAAACGCAGTCCATTGATCATGAACTGAAATTCAAGTGTTTTGTGCATCACCGAATAGAGAAAACAAGTTTCTGTGACACTGCGAAACCTGACACCTGTGATTAATCATCCAGCAAAAACAAAGACAATATTGTAGCGGATTAGATAAACACGTTGCCAGGCAACGGCTCTGTAAACACGGTCCAACACGCAACACTAGAGGAAGCTGTTTTTTCCGTGTCCGCGGTGACCTCACAGAGCAGTGGATACAGACCGCGTGACGTGTTTTGTGTAGATCCGACCGACGCGCCAATGGACGGGCTGCATAGCGATCACGTGATATGTGTTTACTGTAGGTGCATGTTCGTTTCGCGGATATGTAATTAAGAGTGACTCAGTTAGTTCAAGGGCAGTTACGAGACAGCCGTAAGCTGGAGGAGTGAGTCCAGAAGAGTTTTTAGTTCCGAGGTTCCATAATGAGTGAACAAGAAATGGCAAGAAGACTTCATTGTGATTTGTAAGTGCTATTTTCTGTGTTGAGATCCGTTGCCAGGATACGACTAGTGCAGACTGGAAATTCTAGTGCGTGTGCAACGGTTTCCAGTATTTCTAAAATGTGATTATAGCAATGATACTAATTTTTAAATAGAATATATTAATGCATTGCTTAATACCTGGAGTTTTCAGATGTACTTTAGGGGTCTGGTAATTTGGAAATGATACAAAACACACAACTTCACTGAGTAGGTAGAACGCAGATATTGTTTAATGTTAAACAGGTGATACCTATAGCAACCCTTGTGCTTTAAAACCTTAATGAGATTCTTTTAATTAAGTTTATGTGAAAGCCATTTTACCACAAATGAGGTGTACATGAGATTCTTATCTTCTGCAGGCAGAGGATCCCCAATAAGTACGTCTATTACTACCGGTCCCCAGAACATCAGAACCACTATGTTCTGTCCTTCGCGTTCGGCTTCGACCGCGAGGAGGACGTCTACCAGTTCGCCTTCAGCTACCCCTACTCCTACTCGAGGTGTCAAGGGCACTTGGAGTTGCTTGAGCGGCGACAGTTGCCGCACTTTAGAAGGGAACTTCTGGCGAACACAGTGGTGAGTACAATTCATTTCTGTACCTTTAATTAGGTATACTAATATTCTCTTAGTTATAGTACTAACACATAGGAAATCCACAAAGAAAAGGTGTTACCTGAATGATACTGCTTTTATCTGTAGACGTCGTTTGAAGTGTAATTTAGATTTTGTGACGATTTGGATTATGATATTGCTGTGAAAATAATCTATTCGCATTGCACTGTGAATACAGAATATATTTCCGCCCCTTAAAAAATAAATTACGTGCAAAAAACAGTAAAACAAACTCCATGGTAAATTTAACTGGTTTCCCTCTCTCTAACCACATAAATCTTGTCACGGATTTTGTTCTTCTTAGATCCTTTCGATCAACAGGACAATCATATTAAAAGGCCCTTAGTATCAAAACAAAAACAAACTCCTTGGCCTGTAATCCGCAAGCGAACTACACCGACCTAGCTACCGCCGCTTCTAGGCGAAGTTAGTACCAACTTTAGCGGAGAGAGGGTGTCGCGTGGTCAGCGCAACGGATCCCCACGGCCGTTAATCTGTTTTCTAGACCGGAGCCGCTATTTCCTTGAAATAGCTCCTAAGTTATCCTCACGAGACTGAGTGGACCCCGTTTCAGACACACTACTTCTCAGAAAAATTCTGGTAGCGCGGGGAATCGAACCCGGACCTCTGGATCTGTAACCGGGAACTCTGAAAACTATATTGTGACATGTTGACCCCTACCTCCCCAACTGCACGTAGCGGAACGTAGCGCTCTCGTAATAGGCGAGTCATCACCCCGCAACTCTCCCCGTGGTGACGTCACGAGCGGAGCCGAAGTTAGCCGAGTCCCCGCAACCTTGAAGCTATGCAAAGCGAGTCAACAGCGATGACGTCACCAAGGGGTAACAGCGTCCTAGGCTATACGCCACGTCACACTAGCAACAGCGAACGGAATAAAAGCCGGCTGAGCAGCAAGCGAGTGTCAGTGTGTTTTCAACAGTGCTCAAGGTAGCAGCCTGCGAGTGTGCGATAACTAAGAAGTCAGCGAGCGGAAGACGTACGAGTATTGTGTGCTTTCCAGACATAGTGAGTGCTGTAGTACAGTTATACTTGGAGTGTGTAATTCAGGGAGATTTGTATAGCTCCCGCGTTATTAGTACGTGAAGATTTTGTTGTAGGGTTTTTAAACTGTGGAAACCCGTAACATTGTGATAAGTAATTGTAGCCGTTATATGTAGATTGTTAAAAAAACCAATTAACCAACTCTACGGCGTCTTCAGTAACTAAACACACGTTACACTGGTGTCAGAAGTGGGATTTGAACTTACACACGTGACCGACGAGATTCGATCTCAAGACAGGTGATAATTTGGTGTCAGAATTTTTACGAACTTAAACACGCCTGACAAATAATTGAATTATTGTGCATCGAGTATTTTACTGCTACAAAATGTAGAAATAAATAATGCGTGATAGTTTTATTGAAATTCCAACCCATATTACGAGTTAAGTATTATCCATGTAACGTTCAAATTTCATTATACAGAGCCTAGTAGAAACCATGAAATTTGTTCGAACAGAGTTGCTATTCAAATTCAGTTATTAGTATAAGAGCATCAAAGGCAGGAAGATGTGACAGGATTTTGTTCTTCTCAGAATTTTAAATAAACTCCATCTTGTAGAATTTCAGATTCCTGGAAATACATTTTAAATATCATTAAGAAATTTCCCTTCGTGTAGCTGAATTTAAATGTTTACGCTGCCTTATTTATGGCCGCAAAAGTGATGTGGAACTAGAACTTAATTCACACAACAAAGTAAGTGACATCATTAAGAGTAACTTCTTCGAACAAATGTCACAACCAAATGTGACATTTTTATGTAAATACACGCTTTATTTGTTACCATGTAGATGCTCAAAATTCAGCAATCGCCACATTAGCGTTGCTACTGTTGAATTTCCTTTTACATTTCTTCATATATTTTGGCATTTCCTATATTATAACCGCTCACCTCTTTGGGCCCTTTACGTTGTGCGCCACTCTGTTGCCGTCCTCCTTGATCCTACGTTGTGCTCCACTTATCACCGTCCTCCCTCTTCTCGTGGATGTCGAGAAGTTAGGTGGGAAGGGAGGAGAATTGTGATTGCCTGAGCTGGTACGCGAGAGCAGGTAAAGATGGGAGTATCTGGGTTCTGTTTAGTAATTTGTAGAGCTGAGTTCCTATCCCGGGTCTTATACGGGTTTAGCTCGGGCAGGGCAGGGAGAACCTTTCACTTCAATCACACTCCTCTTTAGACCGTTGCACTTAGTAGTCCTTTAATCCCTTCCAGCTTTCTGAATACAAGGTGTGGCAATAAAGAAACCGGATTCATGCTCTAACCCTTTATTAAAAAAAATCAGACAGTCGAAATATTATCCCCTTCAATGTAGTCCCCTCCCCGATCCCTACACCGCTCCATGCGAATTTTCCACTGTTGGAAGCAGTGCTGCAGGTCATCTTGTGTTATGCTCTTCAAGAGTTGCGTCGCTTTTGCTTTCACTGCATCCACGGACTCGAACCTGGTCCCTTTCAGCGCAGACTTGATTTTTGGGAAGAGAAAAAAGTCGCACGGTGCTAGGTCCGGAGAATACGGTGGATGTTCCATCACTGGAATGTTGTTTTTTGCCAAATACCTCTTCACAGATAGCGCGTTGTGTGCTGGCGCGTTGTCGTGATGAA